TATAATGACTTATGACAAAACTTGCTCATGCAGGTCCACGTCTTCGTTTAAACCCTAATATAACGGCTACATTCGGTATTTTTAAGATTTTAACAGAATTTTTAACGGATTTTTTTTTTTTTTTGAAAATTGCCAAATTTGTTCCACATGGCGGAGGGTATTTAAAGTTCGGCCCGACCGAAATTACAGCTTTTGTTCTTTTTTTTTGTTTGCAAAATTCTCTTTTAAAATATAATGAAGTCAGAGACAAAATTATTCTTCGCCAAATTTCACCAAAGATAACAAATTTTTATTTCCATTATATATCAATATATTCAAACATATTCCCATTTTTTTTTATATGTGTATGTATATGTATGAAAATATGTATTAGACAGAAAGTGTCAAAGTAAGAAATGCTGTACACAACATTTTACATTAATTATCTGAATAAACCATATATCTAGTTTCAATAGTTCTTAAGAAAAAATTCCAAGATAACAAATGAAAATTTGCTGCTAATTTAACACGCTTTAATTCTAGGCCTTGGTATCCTAAAAATCATAATTTTAGAAGAATATCGTCAAGGACAATATTACTCTTCATTCAATTTTAAAATTAGGTTGCCAATGAAAAGAAATTTCTATTTTAGTAATTTGTCAAAGAAATATGGCAATAATGTTGCCAACAAAAAACAAAAAGAAAAAAACTCTAAAATATTACCCATTGTTTTTTTTATAAATTTTTACGGATGTATAAAAGTAAAATAAAATTTCGTTTTAGGCAGAACGCTGCAATGGAAGAACATTTCTTGGTAAAAATTCACTATATATCTCAGAATAAACCATATGTCTAGGTTTAATAGTTTATAAGTAAATTACACTCGAAATTAGAACATTTCAAGTGAAAATTATGTGTTTACTTTTTTTTTTTTTTTTTTTTTGCTGCTAGTTTTTCATGTTTTCATTCTAAGTCAAAATCTATCTTAATACTTCATTTTTTGTGGAATGTGTCAAAGAAAGAAATATTCTACATCAAATTTCATTGTGAGTCTCTAAACAAAAGAATATCCTATATACATTCTATATCCATACAAAATACCATTTTTTTTTTAGATATTTATTCTCAGAATTTTTTATAATTTCACTGCCAAACGGTCAGTCTGGGTTGTGGAAAGCCCTAAGTGAATGTGTTGGTACTAGATTTGTACATCAAACCTAAAAAGGTTTCTTGGGTCCAACTTTGTGAAGGTCTTCAAATGTAGCCTCAAACATATACGAAGGAACCCAACAAAAAAATTGTAAGTTTATTTCTTAATAGTTTGCTTGGTTTACAAATTTATTGAGGCATATTCGCTTTTTCACTCCATTCACCTTTTTTTTTGGTTCAATAAACCTGGGGCGTATGATGAATGTAAATATAACAATTATATTTATCATACGCCATCTGATACATTTGTAAACAGCTTCTATCTCTCGAAAATAATTTCATTCTCATTTAATAACCCATAGCTCATATCGTCCTCTCTCCACCATCCACCCACAAATTGCAATTGAAGCACGACCGCAACAACAACAACAAAAAATATGTCATTAAGAAATAATCACAGAAATATAGTATCATCAAGAAAACATCACAATGACCTTTTTATCAAAGGTATTTCTCCGGTGGCAAGACGTTTTACTTACAAACTTCACAACTGCTACGGCATCCTAATCTTTAAAAGGTCGGTCAGACTAGTTCGTTCTCAAGCACATTATAAACAAAAAAAAAAAAATATGAAAGAAAAAATTGTTGAGCTTAACACGTGCTGAATTCCAAGTTACACATAACCCATAAGACCATAGGAGTCAGGGAGCCATCCAGCCAGTCAACCACTCATCCATTTGCCAACAAAGGTAATGATAACAAACCTGAAATTCTGTTTAGCTTGGATGGTTGGTTGGTTGCTTAGATGGGAGGAGACGGAAAACTTTTTAAGTATGGCATTTTCACAAAATGCAATATCATATGACATGTGCAGCAGTAACAGCAACAGCACGGCACGACAACGATGACAACAATGAATGAATGCACGAAAAAGGGGGCAGGCAAGGGTAGGGAAGCTGGGTAAACCCGCATTTCTTTTTGCCCAGAGTTTAAGTGGGTTCAAGATGAAAATTGAATTTTTCAAAATTGCTTCTCTTACTGAAGGCATTTCAATGGCTGTTGTTCTTTTTATTGTTGAGGGAGGAGGAGGGCAGGATAAAATGCACATGTTTGCAAGCAAAAGGATCATATTCGAAAACTAAACCAAATGTAAGGAAAATTTTCCGAAACGCACATAGAACAACCAAACGAATTTCTCAAGTATTATAATGGAAAAGTCTGAATGTGATATCATTTTAATTAATTGAAAGAAAAATGTATAAACCAATATGCCAGCCAGCCAGTATCTTCTTAGGAAAAGCTTTGTACCAACAAAACCAACAAGTGCTGTCATTTTAAAAGGGTTTGAAGGAGTTCAAAAACTGGAATTTTTCGTTTTTTTCAAATGAAAAAAAAAATCTTTAAAATAAATTAGAAACGTAGCAAAGGTATGACTGGAAGTTTTGGTTGTAAGTCATTACAAACTGGCATTATTTGTCTGTGATATCTTGAAATTACAAATTTTAGGAAGTCTTGGCATGCAGTTTGCAGACAGAGGCTGTTTAATGGTGCAACTGAAGACATGCGAGATAAAGTATGGTAAATTGAAAATAAATAAAAGACATCAATAAGGAATGACTGAAAAAAAAAAAGATTTTAAGTCGGAAGAAGGTGTAATGAACAGGGTGAGATGAGAAAATTGCAACCAACTTCAGACTGATGTCATTTCTAAGCCACTCGTCCGACAGCTTTTAAAATTATTCCAGTGACAGCTCATTATATTGTTTATAAGCGCACAAAAGCATTTTGGTGAAAATTTTCCTGAATAAAAGTTATTCGTGATGGAATTCAAGCGTGATAGTGTGATTTCTTTGTATTTGGCTGGAAACCACAAGTGGCTATCGTTAGAGCACTCCAGCATTTAAATGTGCATAAATTTTTTGTGTCTCATACCATCGCTCGTTATCGTGATACTAGTAGCGTAACCCGACGTAGAATATAGCAACATCAGCAGAAATGGTTCGAAAAGTAAAAAAGCGACTTGATCGAAACGCGCACAGCAGTGGCCGTAAAATAGCTCATGAGCAGAACCTATCGCAATATACCATTCGGCAAATATTGAAAAATGAGCTCGGGGCAAAGCCATTGAAATTCCAAAAAGTGCAAGAACTTACGCCGCAATAGAAAGAAAATAGACTCAAAGAGTTGCTTCGCTCGGCCGAATGTGGTGACCTGCCGAATTTAGTTTTCTCCGATGAGAAAACATTCCAGCAGTTTGCAGTTTGTAAACAAACAAAATTATCGTGTTTACTTGCCAAAGAGGTCAGCTGAAAATGTGCACATTCGGTTGACCACCAGAACTCAAGCGCCGGCCATGGTGATGGTGTGGGCCGCCATAACAGCTTTCCGCTCGTATTTATCGACCGTGCCATCGGAATAAATGCCGAATATTATAGCGAAAATATTCTGGAGGGTGTATGGCACTAAAAAACACCAAAGTGTCGATCACCTCAAGCAAGTCTTCACCGGGAATGGACAAAATACCGCAAAGCAACATTCGGGTAGCGTGTGACGATTTCATTGGCCGTTTGAAGGCCATAATTCGTGCCAAAGGTGACCAATTCGAACAAATCTTCACTTATTTCTTGCTATATTTTTGCTTCCATTCAATAAAATTACAAAAAAAAAAAAACAAGTTAAAAAGCTGTAAGTTCGGCCGGGCCGAACTTTTAATACCCTCCACCATTTGGTACAAATTTGGCAATTTCCAAAAAAAAAAAAAAAAAAAAAAAAAAAAAAAACAGAAATAAAATCCGTTAAAAATTCTGTTAAAATCTGAAAAGTATTGAATGCCTATACCGACCTTTTGTCATAAGTTATTACAATATCTAAATGCGAAACTTGAAGAAAAATCTGTTTATAATGTATCATCAAAATACCAAATATAGGGGGTACCGTTATTTGGGGGCTATACGAAAACGTGGACCTTCACAGACAATTTTCTGTAGTATCAGTTACTTCACATGCGAATTTTGAAACAATCCCGGTAAATAATGTCGCTAAAATCATCAAAGTACCGAATATCGACGGGTACGGAATATGGAGGCTATACGAAGACGTGGACCTATATGGTCCATTTTCTGTTTTATGCTGCAGTATCTATGACGAACTTTAAATACTAAATTTGGAACGATTCCGTTAAATAATGTCGCAACAATCATCAAAATACCGAATATCGGGGGGTACCGTTATATGGAGGCTATATGAAGACGTGGGCCTACATGGCCCATTTACGAACTTAACCTGCCTACTGGCAAAATATACACATGTGCAAAATATTAGCCTTCTATCTCAATTTGTTCGAAAGATAGCGTGATTACAACAGACGGACACACAGACAGACCGACATGGCTAAATCGTCTTAGAATTTTACGCTGATCAAGAATATATATACTTTGTTGGGTCTGACATGAGTATTTCGAGGAGTTACAAACAGAATGACAAAATTAATATACCCTCCATAGTATGGTGGAGGGTATAAAAATGTAGAAATTGTGGCGTTTGACTGACCCTGTATATTGTATGTAATGTGATTTGGATTATTTTTGACTCTAAAATAACATTTCATCCATAATATTCTCGAAATTTTCTAAAAAAGAATTCAACTCTTTAAAATCTGTTATAAAATATCTGGGAGTAAGCCATGAGGAAATGCACGCAATCCCTTAAAATTTCTATTGGAGTTACCAAAAATATAATACCTCAGTAATTTTAGTAGACTTATTACTCAACTCCCTTTGCGAATTCATATGTGTGTTGAAGACCATTTGGAATCATTGCCCCTCCTAATATAAATATTATATGTAATTTAAATAAAAATATTTTCCACTTACCGTTGGATTCTGATCCGTTTTCAATTCACGATGATTTGAAAACTGTACATAGACCATGCGTCCGCGCATTTGTGGTGGATTGACATTATAGCACGATACCATTGAGGTGGCCGACACCTCATCGGCCATTTCTAAGAAAGCTTGATTTTTACCCTTTAGCACCAACACATTTGTAACACGACCAAATGGTACACCCAAGGCAATGACATCGGCATCACTCGATTCGTTGGGAATGTTGCGCAAATGTATGACTTTTGAGGGTTTACCTGCAAGGAAAAAAAAGAAAGAAAACATAACAACATTAATAATGGAAACAAAATTAAAGTTCGAGGGGAAGGGGATGGGGGAGTGAAAATAGTTTATAAACAATAAGAGATTTGCTCATTAACTTGGCTGATTTATAATTTAGTGGTTATTACCACCCTACAAGCTAAAAGTTCCCTTCACGTAATTTGCTGGCGACAAGCAACACTTTAACACCTTGCTGGAGGGGAACTATTTTATCTTCGCATCCTCAGCACCCCAACCAAAAATAAGGCAAACAACAATCTCAATAAATAAATAAATTTTTCATTTTAAGCTTTAGATGGTAAAACTAAAGTCCAAAACTGCATCAAAATTGTTCATAGGGAACAGTAGCAGAAAAAACTACCCCAGCTTAGTTACAGACATGCACACCTAGCTCGCTGGGTGGAAACAGCATATTCTCAAAGTTTAGTGAACCATGGTGCCACACAACAACATCCCTACTATGAAACTTTTAAATCCCATTTGTTTTTATAAAACCAAGGGGATTTCTCTCGACTCTGTTCTTTGTCTGGTAGTTTCATTTTACCAGAGAAGTTTGGTTGAAGGCCAATTGTAAGTTGCACACACACACACACACACACACACACACACACACACACAGGTAGGAGGACGAGGAATGCACTATTACATTGTGTTGCCCAAAAACAAGGTGGGAAAAATACAGAAAACATGCAAACAAACAAATTGTAACAAACAACCATTTACAACACTACCACCACCACCACCACTATCGCCACCAATTCAACTTTGGCCGTAAACGGATCTATACCCTTGTTCATAGTTACTAAACTTGGTCTACTACGGTTGGACTACTGGCAGATGGAAGGACATCAAGACTGGCATAAATTAAGTAAAACAAGATTTGGCCTTAATGTTGTACACTGGAAAAAAAAAATATTAAAAACTGGAAGGATGTTGTCGCAGTCTTTAAATATACTTTAAATATTTAAAATCATTTAAAAAAAAATGGAATGTTTTTTCATGTTATAACATAATTCGTTAATTCGTTCTACCTCAAGGTATGCAACAGTTTTAATAGTTCATTTTCTTAACAACACTGTGCGACAAAATTCAATTGTCCAATAAGAGTAAAAGTAACCTAAATAGAGGGAGCAAAAAATTCCGTCCTCTTCTACATATTTAGCCTTCAGACGAGTCGGCAAAGGGGGTCTTTTTTCGAAAAATACGTCTCAAAACTCCCTTTAAACGGGAACTTGGCAAGCCAAATATCCAAAAAAAAAAAAAAAGAATTGTCATAAAATGCTACTACAGTTTCCAGATCTTACCTAAACATCAGGAATTCGTATAAAACAGCAACAAAGTCAAACGCCAAAATTTTTAATTTTTTTTTTAATTTTATCGAATGAAAGCAAAAAATGTCGGAAATAGCATCAAATTTTAGAATAAATTTAGATTTGTTCGAATTGGTCACCTTGGCACGAATTATGGCCTTCAAACGATCAATGAAACCGTCACACGCTGCCCGAATGTCGCTCTGCGTTATTTTGGCTCATTCCCGTTACTTGAGTTGATCGACACTTTGGTAGTTGTTAGTGCCAACCTTGCTTTCCAAAATACTCCAGACACAATAGTCCAATGGATTGGTATCTGGAGATTTTGGTGGCCATTTTGCGCTGGAAATGAAGCGATGAACCTTATTTTGTAACCATTTTTGGGTGGCGCGTGCTGAGTGCGATGGTGCTGAGTCCTGTTAGAATACCCTAGGTCTGGGGCCAAAATGTTTGTGTGCCCAAGGCTTTAATACACCCTCCAGAATATTTTCGCCATAATATTCGGGATTTATTCTGATGCCACGGTCGGCTGTTATGGCGACCTACACCATCACCATGGCCTGCGCTTGAGTTCTGGCCAACCGAAGGTGCACATTTTCAGCTGACCTCTTTGGCAAGTAAACACGATAATTTTGTTTGTTTACTAACTGCAGGACCACGAATGTTTTCTTATCGGAGAAAACCAAATTCGGCAGTTCAACACTTTCGGCCAAGCGAAGCAACTCTTTAGCTCTTTTGAGTCTATTTTCTTTCTGTTGTGGTGTAAGTTCTTGCACTTTTTGGAATTTCAATGGCTTTACCCCTAGGAGCTCATTTTTAATATTTGCCGAATGGAATATTGCGATATGTTCAACTCACGAGCATTTTTTTGGTCACTGCGACGCGGGTTTCGGGATTACAGAAATGAGCAAAAACTTGTGCCACAAAATAGGCAATATTACACTGAAAGCCCCAAAAATTATGCTTTAGAATAATCAAATACATTTTTTCTCTTACTGTATTCAATTTTTCTCCTACCACCACTAACATGATTATAAAAAATGTTGCATGTTGCAAATGCTGCTGCAAATAGACTCTGCAGTACGTTCTCCACTACCTGTAAGAGTATTAGCTGTAATATTCTCGCAATGAATTTATGATTGCTTTGGGGCCAAACAACACAACAACTAAGCCAGGAACTATGTGCAAAGACCCTGAAGAGGATGCTTCGAAAATATAAAACAAAAAAGGGAAAAACGAGCATGCTAATGTTACTAGCCCTCCTACAAATAGTAACAAATTTGTTATACAAATTAAAGAGGACAAATAGAACAGAATGTTTGGAAATAATAAGTTTTGACAAAAAGCTATCATAAAACATTGGTCGGTCAAGTCAGGTAATATATGTATTGTTTAATATTTTTAGATATTTCTATTTAAACTACAACAACTTTTCTTGTTATTGGTTCACCCCCAATTTGTTATTATTAGTATTTTCCTCTCCTGCCGTTGGAGAGGGAGGGCGGCTTCAAGAGAGGTCAATGTTTGCTCTTCATTTTGCAGAGGCTGGGCTGTTTTAAATTCGTTTTTTTTAATATTGCTCTTGTTGTGTGTTTTTTTTTTTAAATATCAGAAAAAATCTCAACTCAACTGAACTACTACCAAAAGAGGCTGTTCAGTTGAGAAACAAAAAGAAAATATTGTGCTGCATTCAATACCAAACGGAAATTACACTTTCTGATTAGTTCGTAACGGAAATAAAACTGAAAATAAATTATGCATAGGGCGGCGGCTCATGAAAAGCTAGCTGGCAAGTTGAGCATTGGACACAAGTGGAGAGAAACAAAATGAAAATGAAAAGTAAAGGCAAAGGCAAAGGCACAGAAAAAAAAAAAAAACAAACGCCGAATGACTGTTACAAACAACCGGTGACGTGAATGAAATGTGACTGTTTTTTTTTTATTTCAACTGGCAAAGGAAACTGGAAAAAATAATACATGTCGAAATATAACACAAACACAGGAGCAACAACAAATTCATATCGATGTTCATATTTCAACACTTTAAACAAGTTTTGATATACGATGACATGCCATAACTAATACATCAATTCTGTGACAAAAAAAGAGGAAAAAAATATTAGAAACGTTAGTGGTCCAAAGTGGTTTGATAAGTGCTCGTTGTTATTTATTGAAAGTCGTTTATAGGAACTTTTTGATATGTTAATATTTTCAAGGGATAAGTGTGAAAAAGGCAAGGAATTGATCACATCTATTTTAATTTCATTTGAGTTATTTAATACATTTCCGTAGACCTTCGGGATTTTTATTAGAAATGGTTGCAAATGTTGTGCTATCTTCAATCAATTGATATATTATATCAAAAACGCCTAAAAGTATGCATCATTCTTGGTATACAAAACGACATATTTATCTTCGAACATTTTAATTAATGTGTCACCTCACGTCTACGGTTCCCTAATAGTCCGTGAAGAAAAAATATTTGGAAACTCTATTAAGATCTATGAAAAATCGTTTAAAAACCATTTATACACCACTGTGAATGCTTCAAAACTTTTAAGGAAACACTGTTTTTTTTTTTTTTTTTTTTTGTCAAAATATCCTTAACATTTCCTTGAGAAAAATAAAGAACTCTATAGAAACCGCACTTCTACACCATTAAAAAAGGGTTCATTTTTTTTTTTTTGTAAAGAAATTGCGTTAATAATAATTAATAATCTTTAAATAGTCCTTCAATAAATCAAAATAGCACTTTACGTTATATCCTTATAAAAGAACTTTAACGGCCAGATTAATAGTCGTCTTTAGGCCATTGAAACCTGTAAGTCTATGAAAGTACTCTAGAGGAGCCAATTTTTAATTGTCTGCGAGTCCATGAAAAACACCTACAATGTTCCTGCATAAACTCGAGTAAATATCCAAAATTTTTTTTTAAAAAATAAGGATTATTTTTTTCTGCGAGTTCTTAAAATTCCTAAAAAACATACATTTATAGCCTTATGTTAGGCTAGAAAAACGTTGAGTTCTTAAAAAAAATTTCCACGCAACTTGACTCAATGTCACCCGCAAGTCCTTAAACAAATCACTATTATTGTTGATTGTGAGATCTTGGAGAAGTCCTTAAATATCTCACATTTAAAATCTCATGTATGTCCAGGAAAATCTTAAAACCTTAAAAAATCTTCTACGGAACAAATTCTTGAAAAAAAAACGCCTTAAAGGAATGACAGTAACAGCTATGCACGGGTCCTTAATAAAAAAACGGGTCCTTCATAAAAAACATAGAATCCTTAAAAGGACAAAGAATATGAACCTTCAAAGGTACTTTACAACTCTGGAATAAAATACGAGTTTTAGATGCCTGAAAAAGGTCTTAAAGTCCTTTGCGTCCTTTAAATAAAACCCAAGTAACCACTATTATAGACATTTAAGAGTCCTTGTAAATATTAAGCACTTAAATGCAACTAGGTTTAGGGTCGCTTTTGAGCTCATATATTTTTTAAGGAACCCGAATTTTAACCAATTTTAAAGGAAGCAGGTTAGTTGTCATCTGGAAGTCCAGAAAAATCCTTATTAGTAGAAGGTATATTAATGTCCTTGGATCCTTTAAAAATTCCAAATGAAAATAGGTTTTAATCGTCTCTGAGTTCTTTAAGAAATCCATAA